TGAGACATGTTTTTTGTTGCACTTTTCAGACGTAACTGGGGTACTGTTAAATTAGTAGTTTTGTTGGAGGTTGTTTCCTAGACAGAGGCCTGAGAAGGGGGAAGGGAGGACGGGGGGATGAAACGAAGAAAGAACTGAGAGAAAACATTACATATTTCACCTTATAATATCACGTACTTCGTCATCTACGTACAATCTAATACTTACGTATAACTATACGTAATTATTACAGAACGCGATTCAATCCATCGATATTATAATTAAACGAGATAAGCAAGTGATGGATGCAGCAAGTAATGAACGGGCAAGAATTTAGAATTTATAATTTTACTTTTCTATTTCTTCTACTTCTATTTGCTTACTTCCGGTCTTCCATTTCTTTCACTACTTCCGTTTTCATCTCTTTTATCTCAATTAATTTCTATGCGTCACTAAATTATTTTGTTATCACAATCGTCGTACTGACGACGAGGTCCAATCGTGGTAACGGAAAGAAATGTATACGACTTAATGGACCGAAACATTTCTTACATATTTTAAGTATTTCCTCAGTCCCCTTTCTCATCTTACTATCCTCTTCCTCGTTTTCTTTGGTTTCTTTCCTTCTTGGTATTTCCTCTTCAACCTTTAATATAAGGAAGTGAAAAAGCCATATATAAATTAAACGAAGAATGTTTCGGTCCACTAAATTGTATACATTCCTTTTCAGCACCACAACTGGATCTCTTATGTATGTCCTGTCTGAATAAATGTGCCGCGCCTCAATGGTTAAGTAAAACTTTGAAGAATGAGATGACTTGATAACGTAAAAAAAGTGAACAGACATGAGTACGAAGAGAAATTTTTCAGTCCATTAAGTCATATACATTTTTTTTCCGTACTGCAACTGGATCTCATATACATATGTCCTGTATGATGGATAAATGCATCGCACTTTACTGACTAAATGGTACTCACATGTACAGGTGAAAAAGAAAACCCACATCACGAAAAAATAAGTGGCCAACGCACTGGG